GGCGGCTGCTCAATGTTAAAGATTTGATTATACGTGAACAAAGCGTTTGCTGTAAGAGTTTTGGGGGTGTGTGCTGCTGTTCAAGTGCATTTTGTGCAGTAGTCATGCGGATTGTCTCTGTGAGGTGTAGTAAAAACGGAAATGTAAGAAAAGAAAAATTATGGTAATGTTCGGAAGGAGTTGAAATGAATGGTAAAGCTGAAAGGCAAAGGTCTGAATTGTATAACAACTTTATGCCGTTCAGTGGCGTGTCTTCAAAAGATGACAGCAAAAGATGGTGATGTGATTATGATGGTGAATCAAGATATGATTTGGTAAACATTTCTTCTACCAAATGCTGTTTTGGTAAGTCATCATTGCGCCAGTAATATTATTACTTGAAATTCAAAGTTTTTTGGTGGCCAATACACTACCGTTGTATTGGCCTTAGAGCTCTCTTACCGCAGTAACAAATTGTGGAGTCAGGTCAAAGGCTTGTAGCAGTAACTTTTAAGCACACTGGAAGTTGATCAATAATAAAACAAGAAAATGTATAATGGAAATCGAATAAAGAAGCATGCAGAATAGCAAAAGCAGTAGTAACATTGCGTGAACAGGTTCCTTCGCCCTTTAAAATGTTTGCTGTTTTAGAATTAAGAGAAGGAACAAATTGAATGTTTTCGAAATTAAAACAATTTGAAATTCGTGCGAATAAAGTGAGTAATACATGGGCAGTGAATAGCATACATGCGATACGCATAGGGTTATCAGATAGCTTTGATCAGTTCTGATTTGAAGTTGAATATCGTTACACAATTGCAGATCGTCTGATACGAAAATATGTCGTAGTTGTCTGTTTAAGATTTGCACGAGATGTGTAATTTGCCATCAGCTTTTATGGGAACCGTAGTTTTTGTTCATTTATTCACAAATCAATCACGGCGAGTCAACGACTTTAGAATTTATGCTCGTCATTCGTCTAATTTGGGCTGTTGATATGGGTTGTTCATAAGCTAATTGTTATAGAGCTATTACTATCGTTAATCAAGGGGATTTATTGAGTAAACTTGGTCAATAAGTTTAGTTTCTTTGAAGAGGTTGGAACGTCGAATTTTGTTATCCGAGGTCTAAAATGGAGTCCAAATTTGTTGGAGATTGGGATCTTATTTCTTCGGAAAATTTTGATGATTACCTTGCTGATGTTGGCGTTGGATATTTGCAGAGGATGATGGCAAATACTGTTGTGCCGATAATTTCGATTAGCGTTAAGGTAAAAATTTTGGTGAATATGACAGAGTAATAGTAAAAAAGTTGAAATACGTAAAGTACCAGAGCTATTTGATAACAGTTATTGCTAAAACAAAAATTTTCAAAAGCACAACGATACCAGGGTTTTCTGAAGCGATCACATGTGTAACTTTAATTTCTTCGTCTCTGGATTTCCCTTAATGGCAGTTGCATTTACTCCAATCCTCAAGTGAGGGGTTTTCATTAACGCTGTGCATTTTTCCCACTCTCATCACTTTTGTTAATCCAACGATTAAAAACAAATTTTAATATAAAACCATCTTGCAGCACAGTGGCTTCAACTAGATGATGTTCAAAGCACTGAAATTCTGTTCTCTACCAGTGATTCAAAGTTTTAGGATGACGAGTGGGAAATAAAAACAATATCGGCAATTAGGACGATTGTATTTCAGTTCAAATTAGAAGAAAAGTTTGAGCATACTACTCCTGACGGCCGAGAAGCAGTCAGTATAGTTCACAAGGTAAATGCTGTTGTTTGGAGAAAAGAACTGTATTTACCTTACCTGTAACTAATTTATCTTTTTCTTTATAAATTGGCAAGGTGAGTGTTGTAGGAGGCGATAAAGACGAAGTGGTATTTGCATTGGAAAGTGGTCAGGGACTGCGTTATTAACTAACTGTAATTAATTTTTTTTCTTTTTGTTTATTTAGGATTAGGTTATAGCAGGTCACCATAACTTTATATCAGAATTTTTTAAACTTTAATTACGAATAAACTGAGAGTGCTTCAATATTCAAAAAGAAAACTAAGACAGTTCTAATGTTTAAAAAAAAAGAACTGAATTTTTCTTTTGCTTCACAGAAGCTCGTTAGTCGGTCATTATCGATAAATAATACTATTTTTACCTATGGTTTTTACATACAAGATGTTCATGTAATATACACTTCTTTTCTGCATCTTATGTTATAAATAATGGTCTTCTATTGTCTCAACACTTATCAGCAGCTTCTGGAACTAGTACATCTATCATTTTTGTTAGCTATGAGAAGCAAAAGTTCCTCTACACATTTCTGATACCTTTTGGATATTTATAAAATAGGCAATTACAAGAAAAAGCGCACTTTATTTAGTAGTGAATTTTAAAAATTATTAGATCAGTCGTCAGTATTACTTGAAAAAACAGACAAGGTCTGGAAGGTCTAGAACAAAAAAAAAAAACATTTCTTAGATGCTCGTTTAACGTCAATATATCCTTACAATTCCAGTTTTTTGTTAGACGTTTTTTGGATCTTTGATTGCTACTGTATATTCTGCCTCAAAAAGTACTGACCACGTAGTTTTATAGGCTACCTGTTTCAGAAAAAACGAGACAAACCTTTGTTCTCGAAATGAACCGTGATTCTTGGCTGCTATTTCAGTGGTCTGGTATTGTAGGTTCAAAAATATGCGTCTTAGTGCACTAAAAATATCTAATTTCAAATTGACTATCTGCCTAAAATTTGCACTTATTTTACAAAAAACTTTCTTGTCATTACCTTCTTGAGCAGTTCTGAGTGAGATGGTTGTAAAATAATTATTGCAAGTGTAATAGCAAAATTTCACCGGTTTTTTTTCTCTGTATTTACAGATATTTCTACTGTTGCTCATTGTATATCGACACCCCTGCTAAATGGCCTATCAACTCAGCCTTTTATGCCTTCCTTAAGAAAAAGAAAAGTTACCTATAAAAAAACAACTGAATTGTGTTATATTAAAAACTAATCAGTCGTTGGAAAAGATATTTTTTTAAACACTAATACACAACTTTCAAAACTCAGCATAATCAGTATTACTGTTTTTTATTATTAATGCTTTTTTTAACGAGTTTATCAGTGATACTTGTCGACCTTCCTTAGGACGTTTTAACCGAAGCAGTCGGTTTTTGTCGAGCAGCTGCTGAGCGAGTAAAAGTAGAGCTCAAGCATTCTGCCACCCGCTGAAAACAGAGTATCTTACTTACACAAACCCTAGTCATTACTGCCTCACCACTACTTTCGCTTCAACGTTTAGCACAGAAACATTTGGAAACACTGTTGCTTTGAGAAAACTCACTGTAAAATTATTGAAATTACAGATTGATGGGGATAAGCTGGAACAGATACAGAACGGAAAAGAGGATAATGCTGTCGGGTCCCGAATCGTTCGGTACGTCGATGACGATGATCATTACATTGTAGAATTGACGGCAATGAAACCTGGAGCCGTCATTGCACGACGTGTTCATCAAAGAAGGGTCTCATGAAAATTTTTATGTCAGCGTCACTTGATTGAGGCTGTGATAATTATTGTTTCTGCCGGTTCTTTTATTGTTTAATATCATAACTAGGGTTATTACAACGCAGCTTTTTTTGTAACGCAGGCAGGGACCCTAACATCTTTGATTTTTCTAATTAGAAAAATTTTTTGAATTTTTAAGGTTTAATGATGAGTGGAAAAGTTTTTTTTAAGCTGATAATTGAATAAAAGAGCACGATATTCAAGCTTTGATTGTAATTATTACTAATCAGTTCTGAAAATCACAAAATTCTCGTCCCTGATTCTGAAATTAAAAAGAAAAATGGTGGAGCTCCGTGAAATAAGATGAATGTGGTTCTTAAAAAAGAGTATTTTTGATGACTTTGAGGTAAACCCTATTGTTTAATGCAGTTGCAGCTACTCAAAATGATTGGATAGGAAGAGAGATAAAAGGGGCAAACAGAAATTTGACCAAGTAGACAAATGAGTAATAAAGAAATTAAAATAAAAGAGAATGATCTTTAAGAAAATCAAATGAAAGATTTTCTGAATTAAAACAGACTTACGAGCTGCTGTCAATTGTAAATTAGACCAGAGGAAAGGATGTAATGGTAAATTACCGTTGTTCTAAGCAATTTCTCTTTGGGGCAACAAGAAATACCTAATTCTGTTTTTATGCTCCTTTTTTGTGCCTTACGGGTATGTCAAATCTGCTCTAATTTGGCCAGTGACAAGTGTTACTCCTTTTCAAAGTTTGATACTGGTGTTACCAACAGGAAGTGTGGTGCAGCGGAATTGCACTGAGGTGGTGTCTGATTGGTGTTGTGATCGACCCACAGTGGCTTCAGAAGTAGTGATTGTGGCTGTGATGGTTCCACGGCAATGTTGTAAGGAGCCTGAAGTGGTTAAGTGTTGATGATTGAGTAGCTTGCTGAGCTGCGTTTCTTCTATTTTTCAGTAAATCGCTTCCCATAAAAGTGATCTTTTCAATAAAAATCAGCAACAATTAGCAAAATTATCAACTTCTTATTCGTTCATCTTAGGAATCGATACTGATCAAAAGTTGGTGGAAAGGAAAAAACTGCAGTTTTAAAGCTTATAAAAGTTCTGATTGCAAACTTTTGTGAATAGATGGTTTCTGCTTTTTTTCTATGTTCTGCAAAGTTACCGTTCACAGACTTTCGGAGCATTCGTATAAAAAGTTTGTAACAACTTTACATGATTAATTGAAGCAAAAATTTCTTGCACTTTCTATATAACGAATGTGAAAAATACAACTGAAAAAGTTCTGCAAAGGACATAGATTTTGTTTTTTTTTTTTT